AGTAAAAGATTGTTAAGGAGCGAGAACAAAAAGAACGGGAACTAAGACAGAAAATAACGATTAACATTGCATTTAAATTTTTCAAGATCGAATTTGATTGGAAAGCAAGAAGCAGGAAGAGAGTCCCATTAGTGAGAAGTGTGATAGAAAAAACGGTTCCTGTCCTGCTTACAGTAACATCTAGCTATTTCAACCGTCAAATGATAAGATCTTTTCCGCCAATCTAGTACTTTATAAATTCTAGATGCCATACCGGAAAGATAATCGGAACAATTACATTAAAGTATTTATTTTTAAAAAAAAGGCACAGGGAAGCTACGTAAGGAAATGATTGAAGCCCAGATACCATGTCAGGACCAATAATATTGCAGATTCATCATTGGATGCTATCAAGGATCTTTTTCAAAGAATATATACTATATTGAGAAAAGCGAAGTTTTTTTTTTTACAGATAATTTGTCAGATTTTGTCAGTTTGTGTTACATAGTAATGAATTAAAATATAGTTAAAGGTCTATCACTAATAAATTTTTAACATATTAGTCCAAGTTATCCTAGCTTACTTTAAAAGTTGTGCACCCTCCACCAAAAAAGACTAGTAGCGAAATGTAAAATTTAATACAATGAGATTCTAATAAGTTACTCAACCAGGTAGACTTAGTTTTATCGTCATTTGCCGTTAAGTGTGTGCAAAAGTTTTCAGCATATTTACCGTTTATTTGCTGTGTATTCAATCTGTAAACCAATCTGAAATAGCAAACGCCTGAAGATCACCATTTTGTATACAAATCTATTGTACTAACCACCCTCCACTACAGCTCCGTGTCTTGGATCACCTAACTTCACCATCTGCGACACCTTGAGCGTTTCCATCAAAGCTGCGTCCGTAACATCCTCAAAATCTATTGGAATGAACTCATATCTAACCTAGAAGTCCTAGAACAGGCGGAGGTCACTTGCATAGAACCCATATGCTTGAAAACTCAGCTATGCTGTGCCGGATAACTCTCCAGGGAGAACTGTCAAAGACTGTCCAAAATTGTGCTGTATATCCACCGGTCACCGTAACAGTAAGACACTACAAAAGAGGTACAAAGATTCTAAAGAAATGTCTCAACTATAGTCACAATGAATATTAACCATGGTCAGTGGTCTTGCCTAGCAGCAGTCCGGTAGACCGAACGACTCATTGTCCATCGAGCTGTATATTCCTCCGAGAATTAACGCAGTGTTGAATTGATAGACGAAAGGAAATGTAAGAAAGCAAGCCAAAAAAGAAAAAACAAAAAATAAGCAGTGTGGAGTTACCCAACTAAATTCCTAAAAAAAAAACGCCGCTAGAGGACGCTCCTTCAGTTTATAAATAGGGAGTGACACTCTCCGTCATCCCCTCTTACCGTTATTTTTCTCCAGCTTTCAGATGAAGCATGTAGCATCCACCGGAGCGCATTCTCTCGCACACATGTTACGTATATATATATATATATATATATATATATATATATATATATATATATATGTCTATCACACACACTTGTTACGCAAACAGCTTAACGAGTTTAAATGTTTTCTTCTTTCATATTCGTTTTGTCCCACTCAACAATCTTCTATTGTCTATGTATATCTTTGTTTTGTTATTACATACTTATCGTTTGTTTAGATAAATATAATTTTGTTGTTATTTTGTTATTTTATTACTCTGGCTCACATTCTAGTCCGCAATAATTGTTGCGGGATATATATATCACGAGGCACGTGTTTTCCGACTAAATACCCTTACCAGTATCCACCCTCAACAGATTGGTGATCACGATATTTTTTCTCCTGGATACTAGAACACACAGAACTGTATAAACAAACTCATGCATTGTTTAGACAGTTTTTCAAATCATGAGCTAGTGAAGACAAATCCAGCCCAGCTTCTCTACCCACCCTACTACGCACACCGGACACGGAAAACTTTCAACAAAAAGAACTTACAATTACAAAATTTGAGATTAAACCAGATGAAAAGAGCAAAATCGCAAATTAAAAACAAAAAAAAAAAAACAAACTAAAACACATCTACTCAATGTAACTCTCTGAACAAGATCTTCTCCAAATCAGCAAATATACTTTTCTTCACAACACGTGTGAGCCTCCAAATATCCCTAATCGCCATTGCAATTACTAGTACGATGGCGCGGTTAGCAGGCAAACAGCACGCATCTCCGCTGGTTTTGCTTGACCCTTTCTCCCTCCCAGTCTATTACGCCTGACTTTACCTCAACTGGCAGACATCACAAAAGATTTTTTTCTCGCCAAAACGAAAAATACGTCTTTCATCTTACGAATTTAAAACAAGCAAAACACGACTTATTTTCTTCAAGGATACTGCCAAAATTCACAAGTAAAACTATGCTGACCACACGAGAAAATGCCATTCAAACACCACGGAAGACAACTGCATTTTCGACTTTAAAGAGCACTGTTTCACCTAGGCTCAACAGATAAAGGGTGAAATAATTCCAAGTGCGGCTCACTGATATTTTTTAACTCTTCAAAGATATCAACGCGAACAAACTAAGAAATCTGCAAGTACGATTTAATAATACGCGGACAGCAGCGTCTCCGTGAAAAAAATAATCGACAATAATATCAGATATCTTCAAATGTTCTCGCAAGCATGTATTCGACTCGCGATAGAAATTTCACCAACATCAGTTCTACAAAGCGAAGATTTCTTCTTTTATATTTTTGTGCGAAAATATCATCCACGCACAGCAAACAAACCAGTCCTTCCAGACAACATGGATCATTGGAAAATAACAAAATTTTAATACCAACCGCTGATACCCGTCTCTCTAAACTATCGAAATATCTTCCAGGGCGTGCTACGATTTTGACACACTAGAGAATCATATAGCAACCTGATAACACAATAGTTCAGGCAAGTACATTTTCGTCGACATGTTTAAACACACACATCACCACAACACTTTTCGGCTCTTTTTCTTTTCAGTCTACGTGGAACAAGAGAAACATATACAAACTTTATGGACATATGTGCAGAATAAAATAAAAGTAGGTTAACTCCACAATATTCCCTTCCAGTTCGAGTGGAGTATTGTGGAGTTAGTTTTAAAAAAAAGCCGCTAGAGGACGCTCCTCCAGCCTGTAAATAGGAAGTGACATTCTCTGTCATTCTCTCTTTCCGTTTTTTTTTCCAGGTTTCATATGTAGGTGGCACGTAGATAAGAACGCTGCCGCTGAGGCGCATTCGCTTTCCTTGGTCCTCTGTTGACTTTTGAACTCTCTCATACACATGCATATATACACATATGTCTATCACACACGCTTGTTGCACTTACTTCTACACGAACACCTGCATTAGATCAACTGTTTTTCTTGCATATTCATTGTTTTTTAACATCGCAACAATATTTTAGTGTCTATATATACCTTTGTTTTGTTAATACACTTAACGTTTGTTTATATATATATATATATATATATATATATATATATATATATATATATATATAAGAGAGAGAGAGAGAGAGATAGAAATATAGTTATAGTTTTGTTGTTACTTATCATTTTATTACCCAGACTCACATTCCACAATAATTGTTGTGGGAAATATATACCAGGAGACACCTGTTTGTCGACCTAAACAATCAACCAAGCGCCGGCATCAAGTGTCACCGCAAACCCCCGACTAAACCTTTCTCTGCAGCCTCTGCAACCGGATCTGTATGTTTGGCATTGTGTTGGTCAGATACGAGTGAGCCTTCAGTGGATTTGGGCAGGCCCCTTTCCTAGATCGTTATTCACTCCCTAGTTTACCAGAAATGAGGGCGTTAGGTAGTTTTCAAAATCTAATAGAAAGTCACTTAATCTAATAAAAAAGACAATAGTCTTTCTAATAAAAAAAATCACACAATATAATAAAAGAAAACTTTATCATCTTCAGCATGGCTGCTAGTTTTCCAGAATGCCCATCATCTCGGGCCTATTTGTGTTTTTTCAACACCCACATAGCCAAACTGTGCATATTTCACCTTTGTTGAGCGAACCTTAGTTACAGCTCAAGTATGCATCCCACCAGGCCACATTCGGTTTTGAATTCAGAATTGTTATTCTCCTATGCTGGTTACCAAACACGGCTATAGAGTCCAGTGTATTTAACCCATAGCTAGGAGAAAGAATGCATTTTTTTTACGAATGTGAATGTAATGATCTCGACCTGTATTCGAACTCGGCACGCTGATTATCCATTCACATCCTCTAACCAATACACCACCTGCACTTCCAAACACTTATTTGTTTGATATATTTCCAGTATATGTGTGTGTGTGTGTTGGGTGGGGAGTCCTTTTCATGAGAGTAATTGAATGATGGGAAAAGAGTAGCGGTCGGATTTGCAATGCAAAACTCATGTCAAATATAGCCGAGGCCAAGAAGAAATATCAACCGACTGGGCAATGAAACGCTAAACCGATGTCATAATCCGGCGATATTTTTTTTCCGTAAAGACAGATTGAAAATGAAGAATTGCACACCTTATGCTAATACATGCAGACCGAAATGGACGTGAAGGGCGAATTGATTTTTGCTTATTTATTTACTCCTACTTTTTGCGGGTCAGCTCAGAAAAATGTCCGTTAACTTCAGCGATGTCCGATTGAAATATGACTATGCTAATGACTTCGACTGCTGGCAAGTAAATATGAATTTGTATAAATCACACATACGGTTAGTCTATCTCGTGTGATATATTCACCATTTCAATGCAGTTTTTAAAAAAAAAGCTTTTCCTAAGAGAAGCCTATTTATTTAGGGTGCATATTCCGCAAAACGGTAATTCGTTTACTTGTTCTGATATCTGAAATATCTTTCATAAGGTAAATATACTCAAGTTCCTTATTCATGTACAAACACACACACATATACTAACACGTCAGTGTGCGGTTTAGTACACGTGTCTGTTGATTCTAATATTTCTCTCCTCGCTGGCTGATGTTTTTTCTTCTTTCCCAACTGACGGCAGATATTTTTGTCCGCGTCGCCATGTTTTTATTCATTTATTTATTTATTTATTTTTGTTTATTGCAAATGCATAAGCACTTTCGGCGACTTCTTCAGCCATTTTCAAATGGTTAAACTGCTTGAGACAATGAACATTATGGAAAAGTTCTTTACTCCTACAAATCGGAAAAACGTAAGGATGTTGGAAAAACTATATAAAAAAAAATAATTAAATCTTCCTTGTCTGCCATATTCAATGAGAGATCTTTAAAAGGAAAGTTGCTGGTCAAATATATATATATATATATATATATATATATATATATATATATATATATATATGTATATGTGTATATATACATATATATATATATATATATATGTGTGTGTGTGTGTGTGTGTGTGTGTGTGTGTGTATATATAAGGTATCCGAAGGTATATCAATGATGAAAAAGCACTGATATTAAACATCTTTTTTTTTATTTTGAATATAACCGTTTATCAATCATATATACACCGAACATCTATACAATGAAAATGTCAGATAAAAATTCAATTAACTACATATCAGGCTAAGAACTCACGTATCTATCTATCTATCTATCTATCTATCTATCTATCTATCTATCTATCTATGTGTTTGTGGGTGGGAACCTGCGTTACATTACTGTCGGTTACATCACAACGAAATTGAGCAATTTGCCCCTATTAAGCGGGTGCTCCGATTATACAATGCAACACAAAAAAAATAAATTAATTGCATTCTTAGTTTTAGTATAACAGGTGCCTCATATTATTATATACTTAGCTATGTTTGGCACGAGGCCACAATTATGGTGCACTCGGCGTGAACTGAGCTCACTACTCACAAGTAATGATCAACTCCACTATTTCACTAACCATTATACCAACGCCAACGTACCAACCTCCTGACGAGTGGACCGAACGATTACAAGGTTCATCGACAAAACCGGAGTTGGAGTGCTGAATATAACATCAATCTGTTAAGTGACAAATTTATACTTGTATTAATCCTCCTATATATATATATATATATATATATATATATATATATAGATATAGATAGATAGATAGATAGATAGATAGATAGATATATGCGCGTGTGTGTGTGTGATAAATAATAGTTTTAAGGTATGCTATATTTATGTGTTAGAGTGTTCAACATCAGAGATAGAGCGTATGTAAATATAAAAGTGGACATTGCAGTCAACACCCAGAAATCGACAATCTGTTTCATGCTAAACGCACTTGTCAGGCCATATGCGTTGTGTTTTTGCTGGACTATTTATATATACAGGTCAGTGATGCATTGTGGGTAGTCTATTGCATCATGAGTAGTCTATTGTATTATTCTATTCTAACGGTTATTTTGGTGGGCTGTGTTTCAAATTATTGTAGGGCTATTCAGTGGGAATAATTGTGGGCCTAAAACCTGTATCCGGACCCACAAATATTCCCACTAAGTCTTTCTCGGAGAAAGAGCGCATAATTTGGCGTGGTCACCAGTTAGAACAATACCAGTGCAGTCAGCTCTCGGTCCCGATGACTTCTGAGTTTGTGCTAGCACAAATATTGGTAGATACCGATTAGATTCATCCACCTAATTTTTCGCGCGCAACGTAACTAAACCATCAAATTTAATTTTAAGTCCTAATATTACGATATCATTAATTTATTTTCATATCAACGAGCCTCACCTTCTTGAAATCAAAGCATCACCCACGCAATTTTGGCTGTTACACATACATGCGCCAGGAGCGGTCGAAATGCCCCTATTATAGCCTCTCTGTACCATTCTAAATTTAGTATTTGGCATACGTTTTCTTGTGGAACATTAATAAATAATACATCGGAGGGGCAGCTGAATTTTGATCTTGGAATTTCGCCGCGTGATGTGTTATGCGATTAAGATATTAAATATCAATTATTATGGAAATAAAAACAAAATCATAATCGGAATATATAAAGTTAGGACACCGTATCAATGTCAGACGTTAGAAAATGTAAAACAGGAAATACAAAGGCACTTTGAGAGTATGAGAAACGAGTTGGAAAAAAATCAAAACTTAACAAGCGATGACCACAGAATCATATGTATAGTCGGACTGATAAATGAAAGAAGAGTTGGATTAATATTAGATAAACACAAGAGGTAATGTTTGTTTGTTTTTTTCGAATAATGGTACCAGAAAGAGTCTTCTAGTGAAACTGAAATGAAAGCCATTCACTGTGGCCATCACAATGGTATATGAACGTCAGAAGGTACCAAAGAAGAGATAGATAAATTTTACTACACACTAGAAAATTTGTACAAAATTACAAGAATTTATTATCCTCTTTGGGGATCTCAAAGCAAAATTAAGAGTGAAACAAAATAGCGAAATAAGATTAATAAAGAATATGAACTTCACAAGCGACGAAAAAGGTATCATATACAACCGAGGAGAAAAACAAAGGAGGAATCGAACTGATATTTTATAAAAACGAGGAAATGTATTCTATGATACTGGCAACTGTCGGACAGATTTCTTCTAGTGAAACAGAAAGAGAAGCCATTTAATATCGTCATCATAGTAATATAGGGGTGCAGAAGTAGATAGATTTTATAACACACGAGATAATACCAAAAGCCAGAGCAAATTGCAAGAAATTATTATCATCATGGGTGGCCTAAATATGAAATTAAGAAAAGTAGGAGACAGAGAAATATGGATTTGGATCGCGCGACGAACAACAGAGAAAATTTGGTCCAATGGTGCACGGCGAACGACCAGATAATAGTTTACAGCTGACTTGAAGAACACATAAGATACATTGTGTTACAAGAAGATACGAATAAATACAAATTTTGTAAAGATTATCAAGCATTAGAAAGACCCGTGAAAATTTCGCGGTTTTCCTATTTTAATATTCTGATGAATCTTAATCCTTAAGATTCATCAGAAGATTTAAGTTAGTGATTGTATAGGCTCATTGCGAGTTCTACGACAATAAAATATTCGTAGAAATTCCTCTATTGCACCGTTAAATAGTTGAGTTTGAAAACTTGTAGCAATAACAATCATAATATGAATGTTTGTCGTTATTGTAAGAAGCGTGTACAAATGAAAAAAAAAATGGAATTGATTTTTTTTCATTTCACTGAAGCAGACGTTAAACTATTCTGTCTTCCCTTCTTCCATTTTCTCACTGAAAACAAGTAGCGTCTCGGATATGTCGTTTCTGTGTTTCATGTGATCAAAACGGAATAGGCCATTATTTATGAGGTACTGACAGAGCGTAACGGTCGTGCGAACTAAGGAACTCAGTAATGAAGGGGTGGACAAGCAGAATTATAAGGATAGTATTTAAGTTTATACATATTTATGTAAGCCAATAAAAACTGAACTTATAGAATAGATATAATCGTTGAATCGTGAAATTCAGTGACGGATGGATCTGTGGCGTTAGAGTTGAACACTTCTAAATTGGCAGGAATTTTTAGAGTTACAAAAGTCTTGTGAAGAACATGAGAAAACATGCTGTATATAGTAAATATTGATAACATTCCATTTTCTAAGAGCTTATATTAGATCAGTTTTAGATCTTACCTGAGATCTGTTCTAGAATAAATGAAGTAAAATATCGCAGTTTCCAGTTCTTGAGTACGGTAACTAATATTCGCAATTCTTACGATTCACGATTCTTCAACTCCGGCATACGATTTCAATTTTCTGACTCGCATTAAAGCTATAAAATAACTACAGAAAGCCGCAAATATGATCGCTAACGAGTTTGCTAACTACCATTAATATACAGTAATTGCCTGTAAAATATGATTCATGAAAATATATTAAATACACGAAATAGAGGCAAGGTCTCGTCTCAAAAATCTTTGACCATCCCTGTGCAAGCCAGACAGACAAGCAAATGCCGCACTGAACAACATCAACCTATGGGCAATGCCGTAAAAAATTGATGAAGCAGAAAGTGCAAGCCGGCAATTGTTGTCAAAAATATGTCAAGCAGACTATAGCAGAAGAGAGAGAAAAGAAAATGAGAATGAGAATGCATTTGTGACCCTCTGCATCATCATCGTCTGCGTCCTTACTTCTTTTCCTTATCCTTCCTCCCACCAGATAAAAAGGCGCGAAATGTCCGCCATAATAAAATCGCACTCCGCTGACTCCTCTTTGCCAGCGAGCCGAACGACAGCGAAGATTTCGCACTCGATTGCATCTTGGAGATGGACATAGAGAAGCATGTCTCGTATGATAGACCATCGTAACCAAGAGCTCATTCATCTCCCTCTTTCCGTTTTTCTCGGCGCCGGTGGCACTAGTTAACGAGATCCTCACACGAAGAAACGTATTGACAGCTCCTTCGGCGATGGTGACCCTTCCGTTTTCTGCAACTGAGTGCAATGGCTACCCTCCGTAAAGGGTAAATGAAGGAAACAGACAGTTCCAATAGATGTTAACCGTTTCTCTAGAATTTTATTTCTATTTCTTCATTTCTTTTACTGATACGCCAATATTCGCATCGTCACTACGCTTCCGTTTTGCTGTTACCAGATTTTATATTATTGACCTAAATTTCTTACGCTTTTTTTTTTGTATTTTATTTATTATTTCGGTCATCATCCATTTCTTTTTGGTTTTCATATATTTTTCTTCCTTTCGTCTTTTTCAAAAAAAATATTTTTCTTTTTCTTTATTCGTTCGTAATTTCATTCACTTTCTATGTGTCTTGTTTTTTTACATATCATTTTTTTCTCGTTCTTTCGTAATTTTACATACCTTTTCTTTATTTCCTTAAATTTTTTTTCTCCTCGTTACTTGTAGCTTTATTAATTTTTTCTTTTTCTTTCTCTCTTTTCTTCCGTTCTTTCTTACTCGCTTTCTTACTCTCTTTCTTTCACGCATTCATTTTTCTTTCACTCCCTCTCCCTTTTTTATCACTTTTTATTTTTCTTTCTCTCTTTCTTACTCTCGTTCTTTCTTTCTTTCTTTCTTTCTTTCTTACACTCTCTCTCTTTTTCTCTCTCCTTCTTTCTTTCTTTTTTCTTTCTTTCTTTCTCTCTTTCTTATTTTCGTTCTTTCTTTCTTTCTTTCGCTCTCTCTCTCTCTCTCCCTCTTGGTTCCCTCTTCTTTCATTCGTGTTTTTCTTTCTTTCTTTGGTGCTAATTTTAATTTTCAGCGTGGAATTTGCTTTATTATTTTTCTTTTTATTTCATATATTTTTTTATCTTTTTCATTATCCTTTTCTATTTTTTCTTCAGTCGTTGGTAATTTTTTCAAAACTTTCTGTCTATTTTTTATGTCATTCATCTCCCTCTTTCATAATTTTTCTTTCCTTCTCTTTCAATTCCTGTTTTGGTTTGTTTATATTTGATTAACTTTCTTCTCTTTCTTTCCTTCATTCTTTCGTTTTTTGCTTTACATTATTTATATTTGTCCTTACTTTGATTAACGTCTTTCTTTCTTTCTTTCTTTCTTTCTTTCTTTCGTTTTTTGCTTTACATTATTTACATTTGTCCTTACTTTGATTAACGTCTTTCTTTCTTTCTTTCTTTCTTTCTTTTTTCTTTCCTTCTTTCTTTCTTTCTTTCTTTCGCTTTTTGCTTTACATTATTTACATTTGTCCTTACTTTGATTAACGTCTTTCTTTCTTTCTTTCTTTCTTTTTTCTTTCCTTCTTTCTTTCTTTCTTTCTTTCTTTCTTTCGTTTTTTGCTTTACATTATTTATATTTGTCCTTACTTTGATTAACGTCTTTCTTTCTTTCTTTCTTTCTTTCTTTCTTTCTTTCTTTACATTATTTACATTTGTCCTTACTTTGATTAACGTCTTTCTTTCTTTCTTTCTTCTTTCTTTCTTTTTTCTTTCCTTCTTTCTTTCTTTCTTTCTTTCTTTCGTTTTTTGCTTTACATTATTTACATTTGTCCTTACTTTGATTAACGTCTTTCTTTCTTTCTTCTTTCTTTTTTTTTCCTTTCTTTTCTTTCTTTCTTTCTTTCGTTTTTTGCTTTACATTATTTACATTTGTCCTTACTTTGATTAACGTCTTTCTTTCTTCTTTCTTTTTTCTTTCCTTCTTTCTTTCTTTCTTTCTTTTTTCTTTCGTTTTTTGCTTTACATTATTTATATTTGTCCTTACTTTGATTAACGTCTTTCTTTCTTTCTTTCTTTCTTTCTTTCTTTCTTTCTTTCTTTCTTTTTTTTTCGTTTTTGCTTTACATTATTTATATTTGTCTTTTTGATTAACGTCTTTCTTTACATTTTTCTTTCTTTTCTTTCTTTTTTCTTTTTTTTCACTTTTTTCTGTTTTTTCATTCATTTTTTTTTTTTATTATTTCTTTCCTTTCTTTTCTTTTTTGTCTTTTTACTTGGTCATCTATATATATATATATATATATATATATATATATATATATATATATATATATCTATCTTCAAATTTTCCCCAACTTGTTCCGTCTTCTTTTTTCCTCTTAATTCATTAGTTTTCTTCTATATGTTTTTTTTTCCATCTCTAACTTCTCTGTTCTCCAAGATTCAACATCCTTACTCACTCCGGTCAATTCTTTCGCTTTCTATCGTTTTATATCTCTTATGTCTTATTTTAATGTATTTACTTCTTTGCTTCTGGGATTGGAAACAGAATGTCTCTTCTTTTTTTTTTTGGTAATCATTCAGTATGATCGTACAGTGAGGTCAAAATGGCATCTAGTCACTCAAGAAGCAAACAAGACAACTAGCTATTTGGAAATTATTGTTGGGTCGAGTGTCACTGCACTCGAGAGAGCAATGAAATCTTGTCTCGTCTAAACGTCAGCATTGAGGGTCATATCGTCATGACCAGTCGGAGAATAGAATCAGTCAAAAGAATTTACTTACAAAAGAACAGAAATTCAGTTGATCAACTAATTCAGTAAGAACAGATATTTTGAGATGTCTATAACACATACGCCGTAAGACATAAGGTTATTACTTTTTTAGCCACTGCACTGAGTTGGTTGCTAAACAATTCTTTCAGCAGTTATCACTACAAATATTTGTTAATATTGTATTCTCGCCTCATATATTACCGAGAATTGACGCCCTGTACGGAGAAATGCTATACGTTAAAACAACTAATTTACTTAGAACTAACTGTAAAGATTCGTCCTGGGTAAGACGATAAACTACGACCAACAGCACCAGGAGATTTTGAGGAGTGTGGAACCACCTTTTAATTGTTGGTGTTCCCAGGTCCACCCAGACCCGGAGTGGTAGCACCTGTTAGGGTCTTAGCTATGGGTAAATAGTTAACCCCCCCCCAAACTGGGGTCAAAACACAATGAAAGTGTAAAAAATTGGTTTTAATATCAGAAATACTTATTACCAGGTATATATTTAACAAAAAAATAATTACCAGCAATACATTTCTGGAAAAAATATTACCAGCAATTTAAAATTTTGTTGGCATTAAATAACCCATTCAGGTCGATATGTCGTAAAACAAACCAAACCAAACAAACTCTAATGGTATACTTAAAGATGGTGGATCAGAAGCAAAACATTTAATGATACAAGATAAAAGCCATTGGATGTACAGCTGATGCAATGGTTATAGAGTCTGATCCAGAAATCGGCGTGATGAGTTCGAATTCTGGTTGTGATCGTTACATTTACTTTCGCACAAATAACTTCTGTTGCTGCTCACACAATCTACGGTTTTATTAGCAAGGCATACTAGAATATTTAGCCATGTTTTGTGACCAGTATAGGAGAACAACTCTGAATTCAAAATAGTGGACATACCGTGTATACTTGTGTGTAAGCCGACCTCATGCGAATCCTGAATTTTTCTGCTCGAATTTTAACTCCTCCAAGAAAAAAATTACCTGTGTATAGTGCAACCGGTCACCGAAAATGCATGATTTTTAACCTCTTCAAAAATATTACCTGTGTATAGTGCGACTCCCTATTCTTTGCGTAAAAAAAAAATCATCATAAAATTCGCACTAAACTAAAGTATATATGGTACTTGATTTTTTTTTTAAGCAATTCACCCAAGCAAGGCAGGATCTGTCACTAGCACGCAAGGGGTTACAGAGGATTAAGAACAGGAGTAAAGAGGTGTATTTGAAGAAAGGATACAGAAAAGGACGGGTAACAACAATCAGAAGACATCGATTGACATTACACTTGGATATTTGAAGATTATAGTTATCGGGGAAGCAAGTAAGAGGAAGGGAGTTTCACAGACGAGAAGTGCGAGAGAAGAAGAAGCTGTTTGAGTAGAAGAAACGGTTACATTTAACCATTTAATCAGTAAAAGTTTGGGATCGAGATGCCAGCCTAGTAGCTCGCTTAAATTCATGCAGTCCGGGAACCAGCGAAAGTAGCTCGTCGGAACAGATGCCGTGAAAATACTTGTAGAAGAGACAGAGGGAAGCTATAGCACGTCTGTTGGAAAGCGATTGTTTACTAGATGCCAGGTCAGGACCTATCACATTGTATATTCGTCTCTGGATTTTGTCGAGGACCTCGAGGCGTACAGCGAGGCCACCAGAACATATGTGACAGCAATATTCCATGCAAGGACAAATGGTTAATTTATAGATTTGAAGGATGGACTCAGACGAGAAAAACTTTCTGACACAACACAGACAACCAACTTTCCTTGCAGTAGATGAAGCTATTGATTCAATGTATTTATTCCAATTCATGTCAGCGGACAGCGTGAGGCCAAGCAGGCGTAACGAGACGCTTTCAAAGAGTTGGGCATCAACCATTCTGATGGGAGATAAAGAGGGTTCTCTGTGTTGGGTAAAGAAGAGCAGTTTCGTTTTGGAGGCATTTCCTGCCCCAGTCAATCACAGATTAGTGGTCCTTTTCGAGATCAGCGGCCGGGTAACTAATGTCCGCTTAGTATAGTTACAGTATGAGCCACTGGTTGGTTCTTTGAGTGTTGAAGTAACAAAGATAGGACAGAAACGAAATGAGAAATCACACTGATTTACACTGTTTTTGACGGGGAATTAAAAGCATTTAATTGACTATTATATCAAAATACGCACTGAAATTTCCTAACTTAAGGATTTAATACTGAATAGTGTTGTCAGCCTTTTGCAATGTTAACAGTAGATTCCATGCATTGTATTAAATACATACATTGTTATATTCGATCTCGTTCTAATAACGTAACTTGAAGAAGTGTTAGGATCGCCAAAATAAATATGGCTCTTTGTTCGACTTGTTACGGCTTCTACTTCATAAGTTTAAGATATTTTTGCTGATAAAGCTGGCTGTTATTTACGTATGACCTAAAGTAGGCCTTAATATTAATATCACTAACTCTCCGTTCAAATTATTTAATAACTAACATATTAGCAGTATAAAATACATGGAGATCTTTGTAGAAGAAATGAAATGGAAGAATCTGATATTTAAACTCTTTATATCAGAGTAATGGTGAGTAATTGAATGACAAATAGGATTTTTCCATTTTGTCATTCACTTACGCAACAATATGAAGAACAATCCTCAGAGAAGGGAAAAAAAGTGTCAGATATTTTAAGAAAGAAAAGAAAGACTTTTTTGTAAAATTTCTTTTCGATTAAAAATTTTCTCAATCTTTTAAATTCTCAACGAGAATGAAATTTTAGAGTTTCAGTATGGAATAAGGAATTAGCAGTCAAACTTTTACAATATTGATTTTTCTACTAGCTACAACTCCCCTAATGCACCGTTGGAAGGGATCAATATTATATGCTTAAAAAAGGCCAAAAAAAAATGTTGTGTACCATTTTTCGATAGAATAATGTTTACTTTAACTATACCTTCAAACATTTCATGTAAAAATAAGTACCAGGTTAACTTTGATTCCTATGTACTTACCGTAGTTTACATGAAGAAATTATAATTATAAATCAATGGTTTCCAAACTATTTTATATTGAATGAAACAACGAAAGAAGTTTTCGTTTCTCTTTCTCTAAAATGGCAGCAGACGGTTCCATGTTACTGCAATAACCAAAACTCACAGAAAAGTCTTAGATTTTTGAAAAGCCTTGCAAGTGAAACATTATAATTTTGTTAAGATCGGTAACCATAATTTTCTATTGCTAAAACGCTTCCTTTTATCTTAACAATTGCACAACACCTTTCTCAGCCAAGGAAATCTTTTCTTTGATCAAAGTTTTGAATGCTTGTTAATCCAAATATTGTCTGCCCCGTCGGCTGGGGCTTCAGAATACGCTGATTGCACCCCTGTAAGACCCTCACCAATCAGGCGTCCTGGGTAGGACAATAAACTACATCCGTGTCCTCAGTATAACGATAAAATACATCCAGCGGTAAGGCCTCTGATTAGGAGTTTTTGAGGAGTGAGGAACCACCTCTTAATT